ATGAGACATGCCATTCAATAGAGTCAAACAGACAAGACTGTCAAGCTGGCACCTTTTAGGAGCACTCTATGTCCATGCATTCAGTTGCCCTGCAACTGACATTTCAGGGACTGAACTGCCAATGTTATGAAGTAAATAGAGACTTGTGAAGTAGGAGGTTTCAAACATAATGAAACAGAATGCTGATACTTTTAATGGCAGAATTTTAATTTTCAAATGCTTATCAGGATGTTGGATGCCCAGTTTCCTGTGCGGCTCTGAAAGTCTCAAGAGTACCATTAATGGAACCCCTGTGAGATACTGTGATGCATTTTTCTATCCAGGACATCAGGATAAGCTTGGAGTAGCTGAAACAAAGCTTCTTCACACTCTTCACTGGATGCTGCTGGAGGCCCCTCAGGACTGCAGCAATGACCGATTCGGAGGAGACAGAGGCTCTAGTTGGGGAGGGAGCAGTAGCGCCTTTATCCATCAGGCTGAAAACCAGGGATCACCAGGACATCCCCGGCCCAGCGCCACAAATGATGATGAGGAGAATAACAGAAGGAAGTTCTTCCAGAACTCCATGGCCACAGTGGAGCTCTTTGTGTTCCTTTTTGCTCCCCTTGTCCACAGGATTAAAGTAAGTGGAACACTGGTGGGGTACTTGTGTGGAGACACCTCTGAGCAGAAAAAGAATGATTCTGCCATTGTGATTGTTAATTAATTCAGCCTATAGTGCACACTGGGTAACCACTGGAAATGTTTTAACAAGCTGGCAGAATACCACTGCCATCAGGAAAAAATACTTCCAGTGACATGAACATTCACTACAGCATCAGGCAGACACAAAGGGAAATGAATTTGAAGCAAGCCATTTTCAGCCCTCGGGAACGTCAAAGATCTGTGGCCCTTGTGAAGTCTTTGGGACCCTGGAACCTGCAGAAAGGATTGCGAGCTTTAGCTTGCTCCAGTGATTCTCAACCGTCGCTCAGAGGGCCTTGCTAGCTTTTCAGGGATTCCACCATGGGGCTGCCACTGGGATTTGTTGTTGTCATTACTAATCATCATGATGCTAATTACCAGGAATGCATGATAGTGGTATAAGCATGGCAGTGGCAAAGACAACTGAGCATTCCTTTGTTCTGAAGTTGGAAGCAGGCTGCAGGCTTCCTGTCTGCCAGGGTCCCTCTGTTGGTTTTACGCTGAGTGCATCAGCTTTGCAGAGTGGTGTGATGAGGAGACATTTTCTGCATGCTCTGACTCCTGCCTCTGGTCTTTAGTCTCTCTGGAGGGCTGCTGTTTAGCCTTTATGTTTCCAGCTAGGCCTCAGAAAAGAAACTGGCTCTGGAGAGTAGGTGCTTGGAAAAGGTCTATAAAGTCATGAAGTGATGGAGGCTGTTATCTGTTCTAATCCAGCCTTGTACGCTGCAACAGTTGAAGAAGATAAGAAAGTACAGGAGATGATAATCTTTTGGTTAAGGCAGGTGAAAGCAGGTCTGGAGAGCTAGATTCTTTCCGTACTTCTGCTACTGAGTTCCTGTACAGTATTGCTCAATTTATTTAGCCCAAATTTTTCGCACTTGTTTACAAGTTCCACATTTTCTCTGTAAGCTACTGGGACACAACAGGAAGAAATGCTGAATTCTTCCCAGTGCTACACACAAAATGTAGGCTGCACTTTGAATAAATGAAATGAAACTGGAGGTAGCCCCTGGCTGTTAGAGATTAGATTTCCAATTTTTTTATATTAATCTTTCTGGGATGTAGTTTCCCATTTACAAGATGGGGTTAATAACAGTATCTCAGGTTTACCTTGAAAATCTCTGAGACCTGTAGCGACGAACATTGAAAAGCCAGTGAAAACATGCATGTTTCTGTCATCAAAGCAAAGCTCAAAAAAGGTGAGGTAAATGAGGCATGTAACTGGCTCACTAAGTCAGCGTTGTCCCCTCTGGTTTCATAGAGCTAGAGGTCTCAGGGGAAGAATCCTATCTGATCAGGTAACCAAAGTAATGCATGTGCTCAAGGAAGATGATATGTTTGCACAGGCAGAATTTAGTGATGGAATTCCTAACTTCTGAGAGGATTTGTGTATTTAGCAATGTGTTTTTAAATGAGGCTTTTGGGTGGTGAGGGGGATGCCTGTAATCCTGTAACTCAACAACTCTAGATAAAAGTGTTGGCATGTCACGAAAAGCTAGCAGCGCAAAGTAAAAATGCAACACGTTACTGCTACCACTTCCAAAAGCCTTGCAAGGTGCTCCTCAATAAAAGTAGTAATTCAAAACAAGCTTAGTTTATAACAAGGCTTGTGAGCTCATTATGGTGAGATGGCACTAACGAAGAGTAGGGAATAGAAGGGCTGGAGAACTACAAGCAGTCAGTTCCTGCCATTCCTTTGGCTCTGTCTGCATCATTGATTTCAACTGCTGAGGCATGTGGAGCTATGTCAACAGGAGACAGTGGTGCAGCTATAATTATGCTGCCAAAAATGCTATTACCGTGTTTGTTTGCCTTATGGGGATAGCTGGACTATACCACCATCGATGTCTCCTAATGTAGATCTGACCTTAGGTCAAGTAAGTGCATACCTGCACCGTGATCCTGCTAAGATTTACTTGTGTGCTAATTTACATGAATTCAGCTACTTGCATATGTAAAACAACGATGGCACAAGTGTAAGTAGTACCAATGTGTCTGTATTGACATAGCTCAGGTACTAACAGTGCTAATAGTAATAACAACATTCTTGTATACTGTTATTTCATAGTAATTTGTTACATTTCATGTTTCCTCAATTTCTCGGTAATGTTTTAATATTTAGTATTCTTATTCTTTTGGAGCAAGAAGTTCAAGTCTCGGAGTGTAAATCCTGAAGTTGAGATTGAATACTAAATATGATGTGGTTATATATGGTCAGAAGGGATGCTTTCTGACACAGGAATGGCCTTTTCTTTCACAGCTTAATGTCCTGGAAAAGATGGGGTTCATTAACTAGTATAGAAATTTCATTTGGAAAAAGCCTCTTGTATATTTTTGTATTGAGATTTCCCTATTATTTTTTAATAGCTATACTTGAAATGTATTAACGTCTGCTGAGTAGTGTCAGTGGCCCTTGAGTTATCATATACCGACCACAGAACTGCACGTGGTATCACTCAGTTCTTGTAAGATCTGTGCATCAGAGAAATGACGGTCCTTTTAGACTGGAAACAACATTCTTTTGTGTGAGCTTGTGTCATACAACCTCTGTTTGTCTTTCTAGGAGTCTGACCTGACATTTCGGTTGGCCAGTGGCCTTGTTATTTGGCAGCCTATGTGGGAACACAGGCAGCCTGAAGTTTCTGCCTTCAACGCCCTTGTAAAACCTATCAGGAACATAGTTACAGGTCTGTGACTTTGCTGGTAATGTAGCTCCTGAGAGCTGGGAAACCTTTCCTTTGTTTGCCTGATGCTGCCTTACGTTCTGTAGCCATCATATTTGAAGGAATATGTTAATCCTGCAGGAACTAGTCAAACCTTTGAGAGTAATTTAAGGTTGTTTCCCTTCAGAGTCAACTGACATTTGCATAATCATTAAATAGGAGATGAGAGAGAAATCACAAATAGGAAATGAGAAACTCTTCAGTAGAGGTATTATTTCCCGTCAGCCTCATATCTCTGTTTCACCGTATCTTCCTTAGTTGCTAAGAAGGGCAAAGGCAGCAGCCTGACATGGGCGGGGAAGGCTTTCCCAGACTGGCACTGGACAAAAATTAACAGTTGGCAGTGTAGGTTCTCCTCCTGTCTAAAATTTGAATTTCACCATGCTATGAAATCAAACAAGAGGCTCCAAAGAAGGCTTAGGTTGTGAATTTGCTTTTGCATACTGGAAGGGGTTGCTCCTCCTTTGTACTTCAGCCATAATGAGATTGGAGTTGGGTGCTCAGGCTTCCAAGCCTTTGTGTCTGGCCTAGTTCTAAAAAACCTTTTTTACTTTTATGATTTTAGACAAGAGTTTTGCATAATTCCTACAAGGTAGTGAATTGAAAGCGTGCAGGGTATATCGCTGTAGCATTGCTTGCTTGCTCTCAAAAGCATGGAACTGTAATTTTCACAGTAGTGAAAATGTAGTTCAGTAAATCAGATTTTTCTGATGACAAGTCATTCTGGATGTCATATTTTGTTCTGAAGGCTTTGTAGGCCTCTGGGACAGTCCAGAATTGAAGAGATTCAAGTCTTTCAAATGATTTAAAACCATCTTTGATATCTAGCTCTTCCTCCCTCTGCTTCAACTTCTGGAATTAAAAAATAGGATTTCAGCCCTGGAACTAAAAGGAATTAGTCCTAAGTATTCTTCGACTGTTGGATTTTTTTCCATAGGTCTGGAGTGTGGTCAGAAAATCCCTAAAGAATAACTTCAGGAGTAAAGTTTGGAATGAAAATACTTTGTTAGTTCTGAAAATGTTTTCAGCAGAACGGAAATAGAATATCAAGGAATATTCTGCTATCTTAGCATTGTTGTCTCAAATTGGGACAAAAAAGTTAAATTTACTTAGATTTGCCTTCAAACAACAAATTAAAAAAATTCTACTGAAGAAGCTTTGCAATGTTTTGCTTGGAATCAGTCTGATGATAGTAAGTCACATCTGAATAGCTTGCGATGTGACAAGATTTCAAGAATTGTCATCCTAGGCTTTGTGATGCCCCTGTTCTTTTACAGTATTGCTGATCAAACTTTCTGTATGACATTCGTGTGTTTCCTGTGATGAAAGCATTTGTCAAATTGGAAATCACAATACATTCTGAGAGACGTAACCTAGAAAAGGAGCTGAATAGATGTGAAAATAGGAGGAGGAAGAGCTCCAAAATAAAAGGCACTAGTATGCACAGGAAAACACAATTTGATGCCAAATGGATTTAGGATAAAATTTATATTCAAATTTAATTTTCAAGAAAGAGACATTTTCAGTAGGCAATGTTGTTGACAACACAATTTAAAGAATTGTGCAAAAATTAAAACAGTCCTTTTTTCTTTTTCTTTTTATGGCTGCGGCTAATGCCTAGGAAGTCTGCAGCAGAGAGATGCTGCTTTGGGTTTGTTTTTGTTTTCTGATTTATCTTTTCAGTGGTACATTTTAATATTAGAGATGATTCCTGAAATGTCCTCCTTTGACTTCTTTTCTCAGCTAAGAGAAGCTCTCCCACCAACAATCAGAGTGTGACTTGTGAATCCCCTAATCTGGACAGTGGACATAGCGAGGTAAGTTCTACGCTAAGGTTAGACAAGCTTGAATAAGGAGCTGAGGGAGGGGGGAAATTAATATTGAAACAGCACTTGCAGCTACAACTCTAAAGTATTCTGTCTCCAGAAATGACAGTTCTTCACAGTTCTTCCGAAGGCTCCCAACCTTGTCTGCAGTGGAACCAAAGGGTATTGAGTATAGTTGTCAGGATCTCCTTGGCCTTATCCTATCTTATAGGGTGGAAGCCTGATCTTACGTATTTTCTTGGGCAAGAGCCCTGTCTTACCCTTTGCCTGTACAATGCCTCGTACTGAGAAGCCCCAGGCTTGATCAGTTTCTCCATGGTATTACCATGGTATTACAGTGTAAGTAATAGTCATGTCTAAGCACAAATTGCAGTAAGAAAACTAATATGGGAGAGATAAATATGTTTATATACCTATTTCCTTTTATTAAAACTATCCAAAGGGACTACAAGTGGTCTGTGAGACAACCCAGCCAGATTCTGTACCTCCAAAGGCCACTGTTTCAGCATGTCATCATGGAAATTCCTTGGATGGAAGCGTATCCTCCCAAACCTCTCAGGAGAGAGGTACCGCACATCCCAGGTACAAACCCCTTCAGCAGAAACTTAAGTTGGTGTGACGCAATGGTGGAGGTTGCAGAAGTCCTTTATCTTGAATCTGCTGTTGTCTGTACACGCCAAGGGTGCTGGATGTTTATCTCAAACTCTTAATTCAACAAATCTCAGTTCTGGGTGATGAACAAGGTGGTGACACGATATTCAATGCCACTTTCATTGGAGAAATCTCTAGCTGGCCTGTTGGGACAGTTTCTTTGGTCTTTTCTAATATGTTGGTTTCTTATAATTAAAGACACTAACAAATAACCTGCAGGTTCAACCTTCCTTAGCTAGATTCAGCCTCAGGCAGCTGGTATCATTTCTGGCTTCTTTCTGATTAAATTTTCTTCACCTTTAGCAAAGGATTTTTGCAAGCCTCTCTCCATTGCCTTCGTTATGCCTTCTCTGCATCCTGCTGCTTAGCTTGCTTTAGACTACTGGCCCAAAGGAACAGACTAACAAAGAAGCGCAGCCATGCAAACATCCTCCCAGCTTGCCCTGCGGAGCTCAGGCCATGGCCTGAGCATGGTATTCCAGCATGGCACTGATAAATTAACTTCTTTTAATCTAGATTTGGGCAGGTAAAATAGAACCAGATTTTCAGTAGTGCTGGCCACTCAGTAGTGCCATAAGGTAAATGAAGCTGATGAGTGTTTTCAGGGAGTGGAGAGGGAGGGAAGCCTAGCTATATTTTTAGGTATCTATGCATTTAGGAGTGTCACTTAAACTCCTCCTGAAAATTTTGGTCCTGTTGCTTATCTCTTTTGGGAAATGTCATATCCAGAACACTGCAGTGTTTTAAGAAATTGCTTCATTACAGAGACAGAAGAAATGTGGGATGGAGTGGGTTTCTGGATATAATCTAGGAACGGCTCTGATTTCTCAAAAAGGGCTTTGATGCACCCTTTCACTGGTGGAAAGGGCAAAGCTATTCTCTAGGGTTCTGATCCCATCAGGAGGCTTCCCTCAGGGTTTTGTATCAATCCTGCTGTCAGTTCTGGGTCTCTATTTAATTTGTATTAATGTGAGCCAGTAAAACTGAAGTTGGAGACAGAACTGCCTTTCTATGTGTGAACACTACTGCTCAGAGAGTGCACAGCCATAAAAAAATAAGTAGCCTTTTAAGAAGACGGCATCAGGTGATCAATTTGTCAAGCTGGGTCTGGTGGTTGCTATGGGGATGAAGCTTCAGACAGGCTTTGAAGAGAGCATCATTATGCCTCCTCATTTGCAGGACTCATTGATCAGTTAAAACTGTACAGGGAGCTTTGGTTGCCAAGCAACAGACAACTGGGGAACAAATGTTGTTTACTCTACTTACCAACAGCCGCAGTATTCCTTTGTCCTTGGGCTGGGGTTGAAGGAAGGCTGCCTTTCCTCTCTCCCTGCAGTCACAGGCAACCAAGAGCTGATTATACGAACACTACGTTTCCTTCTAAATGAAGCATGGGGTTTAATTTCTGGTTCCTCAGACACTCCTGGAGCAAATGGCTTGTTCCTCTGATCCTGGCTAATTATCCCTGCTCCACTCAGTGAAATTCTCCATTTACAGAGGAAGCAAATAAAGCCACAGCTCTTTATCCCGCTGCTGTCTGGAACACACTGCCTGGGGAATAGACTTTGCAGGAAGGACTTTAGTGACAAATCTTTCACAAGGAGAACATGCCTTGCTCCAAGCTGTGTTGTGCCTCGGGTTTGCCTACGCCGCATACAGGGGAGCATGAAAGACTGTTTAGACTCAGACACTGATCTGGGTCCTGCAAAGTGACCATTTACATTCGCTACTGAGGTGATGGGCTTTATTTCCTTTGCTGAGATGCTTTGAGTATCCTAGGTATCCTTATGGATTTTTTACAGGTTGCATCTATGTGACACAATCTTGACTGTGACAAAAGCAGCCTTCACATCAGGTTTATGGGGAAAACTTTATAGCATGTTTCCATTTATCATTATTTTCTCCTTCCTAATTCAGTTTTTCAGGTTTTTATAACAGCTCATTTTAAAGTCGTCAAACTTGGAACATTTCTACCTTGAATACAGCACTAGGGGAGAAGCTTTGGATCTATAGATTGCATATAGTGACATATGCTGACACAGACGGGCTGGTCTGCAGTCGCCAAGTGCCTTCAACATTGGCCTGTGTGCCTGGCAGCAAACCAGCTCCTGCAGGTTTGAGTTCTAGATGCATGCATTGCTCCAAGCCCAGCCTTGCCACCTGCCCCCCCGTTTCCAAGCGTGTAATATGGAGCAGGGTTCACATGATTCCAGGTGGTGTCAACGTTCACTGCACACTTCTTTCTCCTTTGCCAGTCCTATATCTGCCTTGGATGCACAGGGCAGCTTTGTGGCACTGGACAGCGATCCAGCAAAACACTTTAAGCATGCACTTCCACTGGGCAGTGTTGCCACTTGTTCCCTAATGCTTTGCTGGACTGCCTTGGACGCCTCTGTTCAGAATGTGGTGGTACCCAGCTGGAGATGGGGGTGTCCTGCCAATGCTGTTTGCATGTTGTTTAGTAGAACTGATAATATAAATGGTTAAAAAAAAAAAAAATTTGATGTTCTTGTGATGATTCCCAAATGGCTGAGAATACAATTCACGGAAGTGCTGTTGATTTTTATAGAATCCAAAAATCACAGAAGTATTCAGTTCACAGACATGTGTTTCTAAGACACCGAGTGGAAACATTCAAATTGTGTACTTCCGCAGGCAAAAAAAAATAGATCTCCAGAGTTCCTGCCCCACTCCCAGCATTTCACACCTTCTTTTGCCATGTGATTCTCATTCCTCCGAGTCCCTTTCACTGCTTCTTTCCTGACAGATTGTCTCCTAACAGCTAGCGACTGTACAGAGGGTAGATCAGGCCAGGTGTACTCTGCTGGGAGAGAAGTAGTGTAAAAAACAAATAATAAAAAAGTTGGGGCATTTTACTGCAATAAGATTGGCTCTGAAAACAGGTACGATCCCTTTGAAATCTGAAATCTCTGGAGTCTCATTTCTGAGGCTTACTACAGACATCTAGCTTTTGCGTGCACTAAGTTCTACAATACTTAGGAAATTCCGTACTAAAACCCATCAGAAAATGACACCACCTGAAAGGCAGGAAAATCATAATGAAGGCTAAAAATGGTCCTTTTCTCTAGCACACCTTGGCAAAGAAGTGTCCATAACAGTAACTTTTACTTGTATAAGAATCAATTTAATTGGTTTAAAGGGTTAACTAACATAGCTGCCCTGCCTACTCCTTCTTAAGTAAGGCCTGATGTGTACAAATGTAAATCATTCCTAAATATATATTACTAATATCCGAACAGCATATGCTCATGGATTGTCTGTTTTCAGCTGAACAAATTATTCAGTTAACGCAGGTGCTGGAGGCTTATCTTCAGACCACAGTTTAAGAAAGCAACCGTGTCCAAGAAAACACTTAACAAAGCATGTATTTGAGTCATCTAGGGAGCTGAAAGCTAAATATCCATTTACTTGTGTCTTCAGTAATGCTTTCCTCAGTCAGGGCCTTAGTCCCAAAGGGTCAATGTGAAATGTCCCTGCAAGCTCAAGCAGGCACAGCTGTGTGCACATCGTGGTGATTTCTGCAGATGGCAGGAGAATGAGAATGGCTCACAGCTCTTGATGAATGGCTAAATTTTAGGCCTCTTAGTAGAGCTCTTGGGTCTTTTGGGGTGGACCGGCATGTATGCTAGGACAGAACTGGTTTCCAGCAATCAAAGAAAACTTTGTGGTATCAAGAGTGACCCCTTAAGAACAGTTGAACATACAAACTTGGCAGGTCATGGCTGAGTGGTTCTTTATGCAGAGAGCTGAGTATCTCAGAAGGGCTAAGGAGCCTGACGACTAACATTTCCACTCCTACTTTTTGGAACAGGGTGTCCTTGGTGATCCCACCATGCCAGAAGTCTCGCTATGCCACATACTTTGATGTGGCAGTGCTGCGCTGCCTGCTGCAGCCACATTGGTCCGAGGAGGGCACACAGTGGTCACTAATGTACTACCTGCAGAGGCTGAGGCATATGCTACAGGAAAAGCCGGAGAAACCACCTGAGCCAGAGATCACCCCTTTACCAAGACCTCGCAGCAGCTCCATGGTGGCTGCTGCACCCTCTCTGGTGAATACCCACAAAACTCAGGTAAGCGGTTGCCATCAATAAGAAAATAGCAACAGTTGTGGTGATGCTGGGAAGTGATGGCTGGACAACTAGTGGAAAGCACAGCTTTGTTGTTGGTTAAACTGCCCGGAGGTCAGATATGTGCATCAATTCAGAAAGATACCCTGAGAACAATGAGGGTTTTGGAGGCAGAATCTGATGCAGAGTCAGAGCTGGTGACTGCTGAAAGCTTGAGGGTTGATTTGGGATAATTAATCTAGGGTGAACTGTGATAACATTATTTTTTAATGTGGGAATATACTAATGTAGTTGTCAGAAGAAATCAGACTGGCTTTGCATTATGGTGTAATGCTCAGGACTGACTGAGCTTCTTTGCTGTAACCCCTCAAAAGAGAGAAAAGGAATTGCACTTGGTGCAGCACTGCACACTCCAGGCAAACACTTGGATTAAAATATTGGAGTAGACTTTGCAAACAGTGGCAGTGAGCAAAAGCCCTCCATGTTGTTACCTCTTCCCCTGCTGTTATTCTTACTGCGTAACTTTTACCTTTATTTTTGCCAACAAAACCTCAGTAGACAAACTGGCCTAATAGGTGTCAAGACTTGCTCCCTGTTTTGCTGGAAAAGGAACCCCAGACTCCTGACCTTGGTGCAGTGAAGATCTTTGTGTTAGAGCTTAAATGTTTTTTCTTTTGGGTAGCTCACTGTTTTTCCAGGGTTAAAAAGGGGATGCTGCTGCAGTTTCAGTTAATCCCCTTGTTGATTTGTGCTACTTTTAGGTTGTGCACCCTTTTCTTGTCATGTGGGCTTTTAACAGCAAATTCTGATTTCCTAAGTTGATGGAACTGCCTAACAAAATTTAATACAGGTTCTATTTTTGCGATCCAATTTTATGACACACCTCAAGTCAAAGTCTCTCTCTTCTGTTAATGGTGCTGTCAAATGTCTTTTTTGAGTCAGAACTTTCAGAATTTTTGGTTTTTTTTCTTAAAACCCTTGCTGTCAGTATTGTAGAGCTCTGGCAGTTTTTGACCTGTCATTTTATAAGGGAGAAGGGTGAAATATCTTTTCTCCTGTACAGCCCAGATGCTCATAAGCCAGAAGACAAGCATAAACAATGTAAATATTAGTACCGTTATTTTTAAATCTCAGGATTTTATAGCCATTCTCATGATTTTTATGAGGGCTGGTGGTTACTTGTGGTTTTAAGGGCTCAGCCGCAGCAGTATTGTTTAAACTGTATTATACTTTAGTGTCATTTCTATAAAATGTTGCCTGTTTCATCCCTGTAAAAGCTTGACATATCTCCATAAAGGCCAGGTGATATGAATTACTATTCAGTCTTAATCTACCTTTGCATGGGGATTTTATAGGATTGCTGTGCATGTACAGAAAATCCTCCTTAATATCATCTCCTGGAGGGAGAATTGGAAGATATTGCTGTTGATGTGGTTCACTGTTTCCATGCATATACTGTCCCTTTGCCTTTGCTCATAACAACCTGGTTATTTTGCACATTAACAAGTGTAGCTACTAGTGCAACAGGGAGTGCAGTCAGGGGTTCTCAGCACAGTGGCGGCATGGATGGGGTTGTCCTCCAATAGGCACTGTTTGCACTAGTATTGTGCTGGTTTGTCTCTTTACAGTGAAACACTTCGCTCCTTTCACACACTTGGCTATATCTTGCTCTTCTAGGCTGTTTCTCTTGCAGAAGATTCCTTTGCTCAGTTGCTCTTCACTAACATTTTTCTGTTAAAACCATTTGGCAATTCCGCTGGGTACTTTCTAGCTGTTAATGTAAGGACTCTGTCCAGGGCATTCTTCCCTCCAGGGCTAGGTTTGATTGTTTTTGGTAACCTCTGTGTCAGTCTTGTGTATTTTTACTGTACTTCATCAAATTGGAATCCTGTTTAAAAAGGTTTCCAATTTGTTACGCAGAACAGCTGTGATGGAGGAGGTGAAACGGTCTTCCATGCAGCAAAAGTTTCAGCTCATGCCCCCCTTCTTTACAACTCTGAGGACTGAAGTCTGGGCAACACACAGACACCTAGGCTTTGTTTCATCCCAGCCAACTGTAGGGACTTAACTGCTGTTCTTAAATTCAGATTACGTCTTGTCACGTAAGGCTCTCTGCTTGTCAGAGGAGAGAATGCCACCTCCAGAGGGCTAAGATTTGTCATTTCTTTCTATCAGCACAAGGGCTTGTACGCTGAGACTTCACCAGCTCATCGGACACACGGATATGCTCAAAGCCTGCTTTTTCAGTCTAGATCTTAAATTCCTAACGTAATGTCATCATTTCTGCTCACAGGTTGATCGATAAGTTCTCAAAAATATTGTGTTTCAGGGGGATAGATTTAAAGTGCCAGGCAGAAACTGATTACAGACAAAAACAGCTGCCTGCAAATCACATCAGGGACCAGTAGATTTTTCTGGTAAATCCACATTCTTTCTATTGTTCTGCAGTTTATCAGGGTAACTTCCTGCATCTCCCTAAGCCTCAGCAAAACTTTCACACTTCTTGTTGGTTTCTGTGTGCCTGAAATCACATTTCAAATATAAGCTTGGGCTAAAGCAGTTGGGATCGAGAGAACGTGAGAAACATCCTCCGTGTATCACCTAGTAAACTGAACAGCAAAGTAGAAAAAGATTCAGTGCAGCACTCAATTCTGCCAACACTCCTTGTTGCATAGGAAAAGCGGTACTGGATGGAGTGTGAATAAAATGAATACTAGCTTCCTCTAGAAAATGACTTTAGTCTAAACATATTTCAGACCTGGCAACACGTGATAAAGGAAACCTGCATTGCATCTGTATGCAGTGAATTCAGTGTAAGGACAGGTCTAGGAAATGAAACCTTCAGAGGCCCACAAACCTCTACAGTCTTGCACTAACATTGCAGGGGCAAAGAGCCAAAGCTTAAATTAAGCGTAAGACCAATGCAGCTGTAGCGCTCGCTGCAATGCTAATATAAAGCCAAGAGTCTCAAGTGTAATATCTTGAGTGTTGAGAGAAGTACTAATGAGCTGGTAGCCATACAGTCATGCAGAAGGAAGGCAATAGAAAACAGAAACAACAAAATCTAGAGTAGCAGCCCCAAAACTGTTTTGCTTTCTTAACCATCCTCTGCATATCATAATTGCCACATAGCCTACTGCAAAGAATAGCCACATTTTTAATCAGTCTTCAACAGGAGTGCTAGCTTGATTCATTAAAATACATCATATACCACACTGTTCATTTAAGGTGATTCTGTAATTTGGTTTTCTAGTGTTGTTTGCTTGATACCTACCCTAAGCGGATTTCAGAACCGGGACTGTGTCTTTCTGTGTGTTTGTATGGCTTGTATCACAGTAGGCCCTGATCCTCACTCTGTCCTTTTGGTGACCGTAAGCCACCTAATAAAACACTGATTTAGTAACTAATGGACAAAGATAATGAATCTGAAGTAAACTCATATGACGTTTTCCAGCCAGAAGAGGCCAGAGAGATGTAAAAGCTGAGAACCAAGCCATATGAAATACTTGCTGGCCTCGCTGTTGAGAGCATCTAGATTTGAATCCTGATTTGCTGTCTATTGGATTTTACATATGACTGCTCCCCTGAATCTTTAGTCATATATGCAAAATGGTTTAAAAGCATACCTTGACTGAATGTGACTGAAAACAACTGTGAAGAGGAATATTTCTGTTGTGTGTCTCCTTCATTCTTGTGTTGATAAAGTCAATAGAAGGATTCAAGAGTAGTCTTCGATTAGTTTGAAAAGTCTCTGAAGAATGTGTGGTCCCCAGTAGCCCAGTACTGCAAACACTGTAACTGGTGCTTAAGACTTCAGCTGCAGGGACTGTCACCGGCTTCTGCTGGACTTCCGTATGCATAAAACTGCATATTTGGTATTGCAGAGCTCGCTAGCTCTGCAATATGCAGTCTGGCTAGCCAGAATCTAAACCTCCTATACCATAGAAGTCGCTTCATCTGTTGTTGGCATATGGGTATCTCTGGATTGAAAGCAAAAAGGTATATTAACGTGACCCAGTTGTCTAGCAGAACCTTTCTGATGGGGGAGCAAGGAAAAAGAGCATCTCCATTGGAAACAAGCTGATATTTAGGCAGAAGAAAATTATCCTGAGGGAATTTGGTCAGATCAGCTGCACAAACATCTCATGAAAAGTGGCATCAGATCTTTAATGAGAACAGATGGCCAGGAGCTGAGCTTATGCCACCTATTGTAGCAAAGCCTTTCTTTACAGTAGGCAGCTGTAGCGTGTGTGGCTCAGTGCAGAAGGGGAGTAGGGTGCCCTCTACTGAACTGTCAGTAAATTAGTCTCAAGGTTTTCACTGTCGTGGGACGTTCTGTGCTACAGCTATAGGGGCTTTCACAAATATGAACTATGATGAGGACTATGATGGACAGGTCTTGGAGCACTGTTATGACAAGTGAAGGATGCTTACTGACGTAGAAGTCTTAGGTTTCTTTAGTGAGTAAATAAAATTTTTACAAATCAACTCTCTTGAAGGGGCAATGCTGCTTATTGCAGTTCAGTTCCAAAATACATGTTTAAGGGCATATGTTATTAAGGGCATATTCTCTTAGATCTTAAATAAAACGCTTCAAAAAGGGTAGCCATTGTGATTGCTCATAAATGTAAACCAAGGCCTCAAGAAGATCGTCAGCTACCTGGAATCATACCCGGGATCAGAATCAGAGTAGAACAGAACATGAGTCTTCCATGCCACAACCACACTGACAGCCACGCCTGAGGCTTTCTGTGGCAGCACAATGTGCTGTACTTTTTTTCTATGGTGACAGAAATGTTAGACAAGGTAAATAATTCTGGGAGTTTCTAAATTTTGTTTGTTCATTTGTTGTTCTTTGAAAGGGTGAATAGTGTTTTGTGTAATGAATTGAAGGTCCTTTTCCTCTACAGTGCTCCTATGACAGCTCTTGGAAGTAGCTCTTTTTTTTAAAGCCGATTATCCTCTATTTCTCCTTTTGCTTATTGTCTTCTTTTGAGAGCTGCAGGATCTTACAATGAAATGTAATGAGGAAGAAAAATCACTTAGCACAGAGGCATTTTCCAAGGTTTCACTGACCAACTTGCGTAGACCAGCAGTTCCAGATCTCTCCACAGACCTGGGGATGAACATCTTCAAAAAGGTGAGTGGAAGAAAATTGTACTTTAATTTTCAGGAACATCAACGTCCTGCTAAGCAGCAGCTGAAGGTCTGCTTGGACTATATATTCATGCCATACGTGAGATTGACATCTCTTTTCATTGGAAGTGATTCTGCGTGTTATTACATAGGTTTTTATATGCACATTCCAAACACAATACTGAAATCTTTACACAAGTAATTTTCTGCTGCCAACTGCATGAGCATGAGGGGAGGGTACTCAAAACAGTGCTGATTCTTAAGTGCTGGTGCTCACCGTAGTTCCAGCTAATTCAGTGGGTTTTTCTGATGTTTTTACCTCATGAAGCTCTGGGTTTGCAACCATCCAAGATACTTAGCAGAGTTTTGTGGATTTTACGAATCTAGCTCATGGTCTGAGAATGTCATTACATTCTACAAGGGCATCCATCCCAGCCTAAGGGCAAGACTGAGTTCCTTTAAATACTCATATGGTCCCAGAGTGCTGAGAGTTGCTATCAGGGTAAATGGCCAAGATACAAAGCTCAGCGTGGAAGGTTGCACTTGGGCCACACATCTGTGTTTTCTTTTTTCCTCAAATGGTAGTTTGCCATGCTTCAAAGCCTCTACCTGCTCTTGTATTTGCTCCTGTTCCTCCTGCAGTTTAAGAGCCGCAAAGAGGACAGGGAGCGTGAGCGCAAAGGGTCAATTCCTTTCCACCATACTGGGAAGAAGCGGCAACGAAGGATAGGGGTGCCCTTCCTCCCCCATGAGGATCATTTGGATGTCTCGCCCACTCGCAGCACTTTCTCCTTTGGCAGTTTCTCTGGAATCGGAGAGGACCGGCGTGGCATTGAGAGAGGAGGATGGCAAACCACCATATTAGGTAAGATAGTTATTTCTGCCGCAGGTTCTGTGTCATTCCTGTCCTGAACATTCAGAGAACAAGAGAGGCTCTTTATTTCTTCATCCATCCTATTGCCACCTTATGTCCTTGGCTCAGTTTGCAGCATTACACACCTGTTTGTTTGTAGAAGTGGCAACTGTGCTGACAGCAGACCTTGAATGACTTACGCTTTAGTTCACTTTTTCCCTGAAAACTGCCATCTTTACTGGAATAATAGCTACTGAAGCGACCTGTAGTCATATCTGTACCACTTCAATACACTTTCTTTCAGTGCAAGCATTGCACAACTGCAGCTTAAAATAGATTCAAGGAATGGTTGCATTCTCTTTTAAAGAGAAATCTCTGGAGAGACAACAATATGGTCATTAGGAGTACGGCAAAAAATATTCACCGTCTTCCTCAAGTGGATACAAAATAAATAGGGTATTGTCTCAGATAGTGAGGCTTACGCTGTCTTGATATTGCAAAGATACAGTGTTTAAATCTAAATACTGGCTCCTTCGAGCTTCTAAGTTCACCGAACAGTGTCTAGTCATTTTTTCTTTTTCACAAAGTTACTCCTAATGTCATAGATTTTTATCCTGGCACCCTTTCTTAGAGATGATAGGCAGCAAAATGATTGCCTAAGGCCATGCCAGAGCCTTCTCATTTTCACCAGCTTAGATGGCATCATTTGGTAAGCTCTCCATTGTAAACATGTCCCTCTTTGGGACACAGGACAATGACCTTAGCCAAATGAATTCTTAAAGATTCACATGTGTTCTGTCAATGGTTAATACGCAAACACCTACAGATTTGTACAAGAATAGCAAACTTAGTATCCAAATCCTCTTTCCCATATCTTCAGTAGCTCAAGAAGTTTGTTAGATTTTGATCTCAGGGGCTCCAGATTCTTGTCCTGGCTTAACTTAGAGTTCTTTCATTCTGATATCTTGGTAAAATCATGTATTTCAGATCCAACAGTCAACAGATCCTTTGCTTTAGCACTCCCCATCCTAATATACCTATTTCTTTTTGGACAAAGGGAGAAGAAACCAAATTCCTATAACTTGCCCCAAAGAGTGGAGTCTTTCAGTGCTGACCAATCTTATTTTCCTGAAGTTGCTGGAGGGTGACAATTTGGGTGTCAGCTAAACCAGTATGTGCTGAGGGGAAGAGCCCTGCAGAGAGTTTTTACTTCCAGTCTTTATGTCAATGAACCCCTACGAGTCATCCCACTACAATGTTTGGTTCTGCTTCACAGGGTCCTGGAAGGCCTTGACTTTTGCTGACTCCAATCCTTCAATTTCTAACCTCAGTTACTGTCTCTTGCTTCCAAAAGCACCTCTCAGATGAATAAAATATCCATGTCTTGTCTTCACCCTAGGAAAGTTTACCAGACGGGGGAGCTCTGACACAGCAACAGAGATGGAGAGCCTGAGCGCTAGGCATTCACACTCTCATCACACTCTGGTCTCTGATCTGCCGGACCACTCAAACAGCCATGGAGAGAACACAGTCAAAGAAGGTAAATTTAACACATCAGGAAAGAAACGTTTCATTGAAATATCAACTCCAAGAAGCTGAGGAAGTGTTACTGTTTCCATGTATGGGTATATGACTAATTGTTTTTTCCTTTTGTTTTTCCCACATCTCTTGAGGGTTTTTTTGTTCTGTGTAGAAAAATGTTCCAAACCTTTCATGTTTATCTGGTGCAGTTTGTCAAAAAAATTGGCAGCCATCAGCAGGGAGAAGGCAGTTGTTGGAGTTTTTTCACCTGACCACAACACAGCACAGAAGTTTTTGGCAGAAACTTGGGATTGCTAACTTTAGTAGTTTCATGGGGAATCTTGTGGTATTTAATGCCCCGTTGGAGTCCCCAGTTTCTGGATTGTGCTCAGAATCACAGTTTTTCTCTTAATTCCTCTGGTTCCAAATAGAAGCCTGCCTTTTAAATTTACTTGAAATCTCCCTGGGGCCCATCTGTCTTGGAGCCCTTTGCAGAAATAGCAATGCCAGTGTGACCATGATGGGAGAGCCTCTGGTAGGCTGAAGTCTGCTCCAGAAGGAAGAGTCTTTCTATTGGCAAGGCAACACCACCTTTGTCAAACGATGTTAGCCAAGCAGAGGAAAGCTCTCTTCTGGCAGCAGGGCTGTCTGCACCAGAGCACTTTGCTGGCACTGCTCCTATTGCTGAAACACAGTGAATTTGTTTTCTCCCTCATGCATAGTGCTACTGGCAAAACCTGGTCATAGAAGTTGGGCATCACTTGTGGCAAGTGCAACCTTAAACCTTGATGAGGGAACAGGATACCATGCACCCCATGGAGCAGGGCACAGTCTGTCTCTGCACAAGCTGTCAGGCAGCATACCTAGGAGGCTACAGATGCACTCACATGATATGTGCTGTAGCCTTGGAGCTCTCAAAGATCCATGCTTTTTTAGCACAGCAAATCTGAATAGTCTGAGAGAGGATGGATTTGTGTCAGCTCTAATCCAGCCTGGGCACGTCTCCTTCATCTTGCTGTGTGTCTCCTGGGCAAAGCTCTTCTCCTGGATAAATTTTGTAGAGTCTGTCTTCCTGACCTGCATTCGTTCTATAGGACAGTAATCCCACTCACTACACCAGCTTCCTAGCCAAGTATTTTCTAAAAGGTAGCCATATGCGATGCTTGTTTTTCTAGCTTTCTAGTTGTACCCCAGGTACAATTGTGCAGCAACTATATGAATAAAAGGACAAATCATAATATTTCTAGTGATAGTCTATAACTTTGAATGAACCATTCTATAGTTAGAGAATAAGTACAAATATTACATATTTCTTTTGTTTTGTGTGACCAACTATATCCAAGCATACTGGTCATTCATAATTTCCCATCTGTTGTCTACTTTCCCTGGCCAGGAGACATTTGCTAATAAACTCATTTCTTCTGGCTGACACACTGAAAAGCAGAGATAAAAAATTAGTTATGTCCTAGGTAGCTGCTCAGGAGGAGTCACAGGCACCTGGGCACATGCTGCAGGCATGCATGGATGTAAATGGGGAGTCCTTCGTCCTCCTTCCCTGCCTCTGTGAGTCCCATCCAGCAGTCAGCCCTATGAGTGATAATGAAATTAAGGTACAACACAGGAAAAGTTACTTTATGTAGGATTTGGATATGGATTTTTGTTACCCATTTCAAAACAAAGTAAAACCTTAGTGAAACAAAAAATAGCTACCCTTGGATAGTCATCAAACTTGGTAGCTCAGGAACAAAATTTCCTAATTCCATCTTTATTTTTATCTTCACCATGCACATTTCAGTGAATGTCATTAAAAAGTCACACTTGCCAGCAAGTAATCCTGGGATTACAGGCAGCTAATTCCTGCCCTGCTCATTGAAAGGCTGGGTGATTGTCATAGGTGATTCCCTTCTGAGGGGAACAGAGGGCCCTATATGCTGACCGGACCCGTCCCACAGGGAAGTCTGCTGCCTCCCTGGGGCCCGGGTCAGAGACATTACTAGGAAGCTCCCTAGTCTGGTACGGTCTACCGACTACTACCCGCTGTTGGTTATACAGGCTGGCAG